TCAGTGCGGTGCTCTTTGGGTACAGTGAATTTCCCACAGAAGACTTCATCTTCAAATTTGGGCACGATTATTTTGCCTTTATGGGGTTGTACACGCAGACGATCCCTGTGCAGTTTGATGGCAGCGGGAATGATATTCTTAATGTATTCCCTGTGCCTTTCATCGTTGAGGACCTCCGCTTCTTTACATTTGGCCTTATTACCATTAAAATCAATGACCTCCTGACCAGCTTTCGTACAGTATTTCGATGTGTCCTCCAAGTCCCTCGTGAACGCCTCAATGCGGATCAGCTCCCATCCTCCATTCTCCTGTGTGGCGACGGTGTACGCCTGCACACCACTCTGTCCCTTGCGGGGCAACTCCCGCACAACTCCAGTCGACTGCACGCCGCCGTACTTCTGCGCAACACACACACTGGCGCAGCACAGAAACAACAGCAGCAGGAGAAGCAGCGGCGTTATGTATAACGGTTTCCCTATTTGGGAGTGTGTTGTTTCGTAAGAGTTCCGTATCTTTCTCATTACGTGGAGTTTTTTGCAGTAGGAAAAATTTCTTATTAAAATAGGAAGAAAGAATTTTAGAGAATAATATACAAGTAGAAATGGTAAAAAAAAAATCTTTATGAGTATTGAATCAAGTAATATAGAAAGGCTATTTACAGGAATGTAAAGAAAGAAGCATATGTTTTACTTTATACGATTTTATGAAACTACACAGTAACAACGTTAGGTGGTCACGAAATAAAAAAAAGAAAAATGTTATGTGGAACTCATGGGTTTGGATAGTGCACGGGTTAGTGCCATCTGAGCTTCTCCACTCATACAATGCGATTTCGCATCAATTAATAATTCTTGTAGGGAATGTACGGAATCCACGAGTTTCTGTGGTTCACATAGAGCTTCTTTTTTTATGTGTATAAGACGAAGAAAATGAAGAGCAAAAACATTTATTGTATGACGCATCTCTGCACCTGTTAAGTCAGTTGTGCCTTCTACAAAAGCCTTAATCAAGGCCTGCCTTACTGCATCCGTATCTACACTAGTACTAGAATTAGGAAACCAGGCATTCCACTCGCCGTACACAACACGCTGCACTAAACTATGCCGTGCTGCCTCATCTGGAAGAGGAACTTCTACAATTGTATCAAGGCGTCCAGCACGTAGTAATGCTTCATCCAACATGTGCTTAACATTTGTTGCTCCTACAAAAAGAGTGAAGTGATCTTCGTCTTCGTGCGCCTTATCAAGAAGATGAAGAAGCTGAGAAACGAGACGCGCATCATGGGTTGAACTTGACCTCCCTTCTGCGTCGTACCGATTGCCAAATGCGGCTTGTAGTTCGTCAATAAACATTACAGAAGGACTTCTTTCTCGGGCAACATCAAAGAACTCCCGTAGTTTTCGCTCAGATTCTCCAACTTCCGACTGAATTAATTGTGGGAGGTCCATATAGATAAAAGAAGCGTTCAGTTCAGTAGCCATTGCTCGTGCAAGCATCGTTTTTCCTGTTCCTGGAGGCCCAGAAAGCAAAACACCAGTAGACGGACGAACTCCAAAGCGTCGATAAGTAGTATAATGTTTCAATGGCCGTAAAATAAGTCGTTGGAGTGTCTTTTTCACCTTCTCAAGTCCGGCTATATCAGACCAGTGAGTTTCTTGTACATCAATATATCCAGCGCTTTCTCGGTATTCCTGTGCTGCAGTAGAACCACTCGCACTGAATAAACGAATAGTTTGAAGGGCAAGTGATGCAGCAAAATCTTCAAATTTTTTATAATACAATTTATTTAGAGTATTAAAATTATCGATTGGTGATAAAAACTCAAGGTAATCCTTATCAGATGATTTTTCATGTATAATTTCTTCTACATGTCTAAGAATTTCAGTTAAACCTCTGTATGTGACACCACCACTACGAGCCGCAATAGCTCGGCATAGTAGTGGTGAGATAACAGATTGATTTTGCATAAAAGTAAGACGTTCACTTTCTGTTGGAGTTTTTAAAGACACGTAAGCATCAAAAAGTTTATCACGTGCGAACAAATCAACCTCTTCATAGACTCCACTAAATAGTGTAACGAAGAGTACACAACTCAAACGCATTTGCTGTAATTCTTCTTGTTGAAATAAATCACGTCCTCGAATGATATCGTACAGGTCAGCTAGGAGTGCTGGATGATGTGGTGTGCCAGATCCCGAATAACCAGATGATGTTCCTTCCTCACGCAAAAAACTACTGGTATCTGTAGTGGCAGTTAGGAAAAGTTCCATATGGTCTAGAATAACAATAACCACAGACTCCGTATTGAGTTCAGTTTTATCCTTTACACCACTCTCTGTTTGTTCAAGCAATATATCCGCAATGGTATGTCGAATTTCCTTCCGAAGCATTGTGCTTCCGTTTACTTTCCGCCGTGCGAGTGACTCTGCGAGGCGCGGGGTGATATTCAACACACGACGAGATCCCACACGGCGGGCCCGCCGCACGGCACTGCGCACCACGTGGCTCTTTCCATTTCCGCACGGGCCACACAACAGCACGGAGGCGGGCTGGCGGCAGTGGGGCCAGTGAAGGGCAATACCGCAGAGAAGTTCCACTGCAAACTCAAAGGGAGATGTTGGGCGGCGCTGCAGGGAGACTGTATCCTCCATTCGACAATAAGCGCCTACATCCAGAAATTGTAGACCGACAACGTATATATATATATATATATATATAGAGAGAGAGAGAGAGAGAGATAGGATAAAAAGGAAACAGATGGAAAGAAGCATACGTGAGATAAAATAAGGAAGCCATCGAAGAAGAAGAACAACAACAACAAGAAAAGAAAAAAAAACTATGATTCTGCTTTTGTGCACCATTGATAATAGGAAAATCAGACTTTGAATGGAAGAAATAATAATAAAAAAAAATAAGAAGAAATAAATAATAATAATAATAATAATAATAATAATAATAATAATAAATATTCCTATGATACCCAACGTAGAAGCAAACACAGAAGTGCCGTTCTTTCTTTAGACTCTGAGAATATAATCACCTCGCGTTCATGCTCTTCCCGTCCAATCATAAAGTGTCGTACCTCATCACATAGGACTGTGTAGGTGGTATGCAGAGGTGGTATTAACACACAATCATTATTTCTCTGCAATGCCTCTGTTAATGCCATCTTCAGAGTGGTGTTCTCACGCTGCAGCGCAATTAATTCCTCTCGCTTTTCATCATCGAGTTTCTTCAATTCTTCAGTCTGACGCTCCAGTGCGGCTGCATACTCAAGATGTGATTGATATGCCTTTAGATAAGTGAAGGGTACAACCGCAGTCTCTAATGATGATGGTAATGTTGATGATGATAATAATAGGAGTTCCTCTGCAGAAGTCATCTTTTCTTTCTCTTTCTGCCGCTTTTCTTCTTCATTGCATAAACCTTCAAGATATCGCACACGTGATTGAAGACGTAAACAAGTGCGTAACACCTCTTCTTCATGAGCAGATGTATAAACTGTTTGTGTTGATACTTCTCGATGACGAATTTCATGAATATTCTTCTTCTTCTTCTCCTCTTCTTCCTTATTTTTCTGAGAAAAAGTAGATTGAGTAGATTTATCTCTTATTTTCAATAAGAAATCCTCACCTCCCAATATCACGTAATCTGTGAGTATAACTGCTGCATGTTCAATCCAAATAGACTCTAGAGATAACAATGGGTGATGAGATGGGAGATTTCCATCAAAAATAAATGAATGCATGACTTTTTCTAAGAGTTCCTCATTTATACTAACATACTGTATAGATGAGGGATTAGATACTGCAATAATATTTCTAAACCACTCCAATAACAATATAAAGTTTTCACGGGATTCCACATTTAAAAGATATGGACCATACGTTTCTTTTGCTAAACGATAAATGGCAACATAACACATCTCTGTGGTGAGTTGTAAAGAAATCATATCAGGGTTTAATGTATCCGTTTTATTATGAAGAGAGAAAGAGTGTTGGAGAGACTCATTAAATGTATAATAGAGATGTAAAAGTATAAGTGGATGATGAGTTGTAGTGTTTAGAACTTCCAAAATAACGGGTAAAATATTATTTCCAAAATTTATTTTATCATCTGCTGCTGATAATGATGATGGATTCATTCTTGGTAAAGGAATTTGTTTGCAAACAGTATCCCACACTATATGAAAGTCCTGTTTAATCATTTTCAAAATAATCTCTCCACACAATGGTGAGATCACTACAGGGAATAATGAAGAAGTCATTAAATGATCCATCCATTCACATCCATTTAACCCTATATAGATAGAGCCTATACACATATCATGCCATTCTTTTAATAGAGATGAGGAGAAGCCTCGTAAGTAACATTCAACTTGAATGGCATGATGTAATAGGTATAGATATAGATGTGTAAACATATTCTCATTTAAAAAATGATTTTTAAATATTTCTACAAAAGTGGAAATAAAGAGTTCGGCTACTTTGGTTGGATATTGAGCGAGAATAGCAGGAGTCGAACAAGATGAATAAACAATACGATCCAATAATAACAATACAAGAGATGTTTGATGTAATAGCATATGAATAAACTTTTTACGTGAGTGTTCTACTTCTTTAAAATTATTATCATTATCATTATCATCACTATTATTATTATTATGATGATAATTATTAGTCAGAATATCCATATTTTCTGATGAAGTTGTCCATATATCTAATTCTCCTTTTTCTTTTTCTTCCTCTTTTACTTCCATCATCTTTATCTTCTTCATCTTTATAGGAGTATGGGTCTGAGCTATGGAAGAAGAATAGATACATTCTCTACTAGTTGAAAAAGGTTTACTTTCCTCTCTATTAGACATCATCTTCACAGAGACTTGTTCTCCAATCACACGGCAATGCTCTCCTGTGGATAAAAGATAAGCCTGACGAAATGCATATTCCAAACTACAACAATCTCTTCTAGAAGGAGTTTGTATGGAAATCCATTCATATGATAATAATCCCTCATGCCTTATGTTTTCATTTCTTTCTATAGTAATACCAAGATGAAATGCTTGTTGAGATCTCTGCAAGATATTACGAGGTTGATATCCATATACACGACTCCAGTGAAGAACTATATGAGAAATAAATGATTGACTTGTTTCAGTTTGTAAAAGAAACACAACTGCCTCGCGAAGAATAATAATCATACCACGACAAGTAATAATATTTGCCGCATCTCTTTTATACTTTTTAAATCTGGATAATGTTGAATGAACTGATAATGGAATAGAAAAACTACATTGAGTGGAAATAAAATAAACCACACGTCCAAGTGAAGGGGGAAGTAGTGCTTCCATTACTAGAGGATGTCTTATCCACATCTTCACATCTTCATTCATCACATCTGTAGTAAAATGTATGAGGGATAAGTATTGAGTAGACAACACACTAAACAGTGTCTCTCGCAGTATTTCAATAGAAAGTTCTGTATTATTATTATGGTTTCGATTCCATTCCACACCTACTCCAATATTAACAAGAACAGTATTCATATCATTATCACTATTATTATTATTATTATTATTATTACTATTCTGAGAGATAGCTTGACGGTACAACTGGGATAGTTGTAGAGGAATAGAGAGATCATTTCCAAGTGGAGCATACATTGACATATCTACACCTTCACTCCCACTCCCTTTTTTACACGAGATTCGACGAAAACACACATCTATTAATGATGATGATATTATTCTTCTTCTTTCTATTGTTGTTGTTGTTGTTGTTGTTGTTGTTGTTATTATTGGGAGAGGTTTTATAATCAAGTAGTGTGTTTCCCCAGCAATATCTACACATAATGCCAACGATTGTAATCCTTCAAATGGCTCCATGTGTGCAATGATATCCGAAGCGTGTATAACCCCCACTACCCGTTCCACTTTCGTATTGTCATTATTATTATTATTATTATTATTATTATTATTATTATTATTATTACTATTATTAAGAAGAAGAAGTAAAAGCACTAAGAGTGAATCACTATTAGTGAGATGATGCTCTAAGAGAGCCATACCGCCCATGAAGGCATTCATTCCAACCGCCGAGAAGTGAATTTCTGCGGGGGAACTCACAAGAACAGTCGTCTTGAGAAGTGAAGTCTCCTCCTCTGCTGCTGTTGGGATCCAGTCTATTCCCTCCGCACTGCAGAGGAGAGTGTCGGAGATGTGGAGATCATCCATGATTGGAATCTCATTCGATACCTCCTCTTATGGATATTAATAATAATATATATTTATTTTAGGAGAAATAAGAGAAATATATAAAGAAGAAGAAGAAAAGATTATTATTATGATGATGATGATCATGAAGAGCAAGAAAGAAGGATATAAAGAAGGATAGAAAGATTAAAAAAAAAAAAAAAAAATAAAAAATTACAGGTTTACTGCTTTTTCGCATAGAGATATAGATAGAGAAAGAAAGGAACAAAAAAGGTGTTATCATGAGCATTAATAAAAGGCGAAATAGCTTATCTCTTATATATATATATATATATATATATATATATATATATTTCAACGGCATTTACTATATAAATAAATAAATAAATAATAATAATAATAATAATAATAATAATAAGGGCGCAACCACAGAGATAAATAATAATAAACACACACACACACATACACATACACATTACAAAGAAAAAAAGATAGAGAGATGTTTGTTCCCAAACTAGAAAACAAACACCAATCACAATCCTAATCACTACATCAACAACAATAACAACGAAAGAAAAAAGAAAAAAAGAGGAGAGAACTGCCCTTTTCTTTTTTAATTTTTCTTTTTTTAATTTTTCTTCTTTTCTTCAGCTAATCCCTTTCCCTCTCCCTAATAATACTGGGAAACTGAATAGTGAAGAAGTTGAGTTAGGCACCATTCCAGGAATTATCTACACTACCATTGATTACAACAACTTATAAATAATAATAATAATAATAATAATAAAAGAAGAATATAAATATATCATATTCGGATAATAGCAAGCATGTCGAGAATGAAAAAAACAAAAAAAAAACAAAAGAAAAAGAAAAAAAGAAGTTGGAGAAAAAAAGAAAAAAGCAAAAAACTATTTAAAAAAATCTCTGAAATAATAATATAGAATATGTTTATCATTCAACTTTGAAAAAAAACAAAAAACAAAAAAAACAAAACAAAGAAGAAAAAACTGCATGGCTATAATAGCATTGTCTTACAAAGAAAAATGTAAAAATCGAAAAGAAAAAAGAGGTAAATGATTTTTAACATCATCTAAATAACTAGGATAAGAGCAATATATATATATGTATGTATGTATGTATGTATATGTATATGTATGTACCTAATAACACCTATTTCAAAGAATTTTTTTTTAAATAGAGATTCCAATAGCGACAAGAGGAATGGACATTTATTTTCTCCCTACTTTTCTTTTCGTTTTTCTTTTCTTTATTTATTTTATTTTATTTACTTTAATAATATATATATATATATATATATATATATATATTGCCTAACTCTTAATAAAAGAACCATAACCATAGCATAGATGCCAGTGAAATAGAAGTCAACGTTGTGAAGGCCACGTTACTTTCATCACAGACTTCATGTACCATTGGACATTGAATACGACCACTGGAGAATGTTTTCATTGGTGTAATGGAAGTTCCCTCTGGACACGGATACCATTCATCATCGCCAAGATATCGTATATGCACTTTCCCATTACCGCAAAGCACCTCTACACAAATATCTCCCACAGGTTTATTATAAAGAATAAGATGATCTCCAGTCAAACAACGGGAATTAACAGAAATACGACTTCCCGGGAGAAGTTCCTTTTCTCCATTATTGCAATAACTATCTTCATATGGGACAATAAAAGGACAATAATCCATCAAATCATCTTTATTTCCACCCAAGTAAGGATTTGTAAAGTATTGATAAACTTCTGGAATTGATATATTGTGTACTGTTAAGGAACAAGACCCAAGTGCTCTTCGATCAAATGTACATCGTAGTGTACTAGACTTGGATTCATTACAAAACATATGTGGAAATGCCGTAATGTTATTTACTATACACTTTTCTTCTAAGAATGCACAACCCGCATTTTCTCCCCAACTCATTCTTTCCTCTTTTCCCCAATTAGCTTTATAAAATTTCATATCTTCAAAAGTGGCCATTGTCATTGCGGTATAATACATTCCAGTACTTCCCATGGAAGCCATTAATTCATCTCTTGCATTTCGTCTTTTCCAATGCGAACCGGCGGTGTTGTTGTCGCCTTCATCTTCCAATTCCATTCCAACAGCAGAAGAACAGCCGTAAAACTCTTTAGCTTTTTTTGCCGTTAAGGTGGAGTTTACCACCATCACGGACGGTTTACCTCTTACATGAGGAACAGTAGATATCATGTTAAGATCTACCATTTGTTGATAATTAAATCCAAGGGTGTGGGCAATTTCATGTGCGGTAATTCGAATAGATATTCTAGTGAGAGAAATAGATTGAGGGATAAAGTTTATCACTCCAGCAATAGGACGACCATTCTTCATTTTTGCACAACTCTTTGCCCAAGCAACATCTACACCACTTGCTGGTTTAGCCGCAACATAGAGAATCATATCGGCATCTTTTACACCTATACGTCGATGATCTGCGGGAACTGTAAAACTTGAACAAATCGTATCATTAAATAACGGAATAAGTAAATTCTCATTTAAAGACTCCACAAGAAGACGTGAGGAGTGTAATTGCACCGCTTCAGGGAGAATATACTCTATAATAAGTTGAATCTTCTCAGGTGTTAAGATAGATGTCTCTGTACACATAAAGTCCTTTCCATGAAGATCTTGACGAATCACACCAGAGATATTACAATACTTATTGGTATCATTTAAATCCAATGTAGAGACGGCAATGCGGAGGGGATTCCATTCACTTCTAACGGCTGTTAACGCATGCCAGGCGGCTTTACCTTCTCGCGGTAATTCCTTCAGAATGGCCGTGAAAATTGCCGTGTGATTTACCATCGCTTCCAGGAAGCCAAAAGGCGTTGATTTATTATTATTATTATTATTATTATTATTATTATTATTATCATTATTATTATTATTTTCATTATCATTATTGGCGAAACATCCAATAAACACACATCCAAGTAGAAGTGTGAGACTTAAAAGAACATACTGTACGAAGTTCATATGATATGTTCTGTTTTTTTTTCCTTTTTCTTTTCTTTTTTAAGCTCTTTCAATTAAATAAATAAATAAATAAATAATTAAAAGAAAGAGAGAGAAGTATGTATGTATGTTTTGTATGTTTGTATGTGTGGTGATAATATTTGGGAATGGTCCTTACTGTAATGCCAATTAAAACACCTTTGGTGAAAACAAGGGAAGAAAAAAAAAAAACAAAAAGAAAAAAGACAAATAAATTAAATTAAATAAATAATAATAGTAATAATAATAAAGACAGACATCCCAAGCCTTACAACTACAGAATAACATGATTATTATAATTATAATAATTCTAATTCCTACAACCAAAAGAAAGTAAGTAAGAAAAAGAAGAATTGTACAATACAGAATGAAAAAAAACTAGAACAACAACGACAAAAGAAAGAATAATGGGCCAAGAGAGAATTCACACAAACAGAGAGAAAAAAGAAACATTTCCTTTTTTTTTTTCTGAAGACCCCAAAAAAAGCAAAAATAAGAGAAAAACACACTCACACTCACACTCTCTCAGCATCTCCATCTCTGCAGTCATATTCACAATAATAATAATAATAAAAGAAAGAAAAAACAAACAAGATAAGTGATGTATCTTTAATTAAAAAAAAAAAAAAAAAAACGACTAAGACATATGAACAGCAGCACAGAGAGCATTTCCATTCTCTGTTTCTGCACAAAGCATTGAATCCATCAGGGAAATAGACTTTAAATATTCCCTGAACGGCACTTCATCCTCCACTCCAGTAAACTCGAGGTCTGTCAACTTTCCATCCCACGTTCTCACGGCCGCACCGCAGCAGCGCACGCCTGTACTCATCAGAAAAGAACCATCCGGGGAAATATCGCAGCGTAAATTTCGTCGATGTGGAATTGAAGTGCGTTGTCGATCCAACAAGTGCAAGAAGACAGACCGTCCTCCGCCTGTTTCTTCCGAAAATACCATACGCTCTGGTGATGCTGAATTTAATAATGATAATATATTATCATTATCACTATTATTATTATTATTATTATTATTAATATTAATATTATTATTATTATTATTATTATTATTATAAATATTATTCTTATTCTTATTATTTGGCTTATTTTTCAATGTACCAGACTCTAGCTCTGCGATAGTTGTGAGAACACTCATTCCACCAGTATCCACCATACCAATAACCCCAAACTCCAAACGACAATGTCTCATATCACACACCGGATATCCTGTGGGAATAGAAACTCGTTCAGACACAACCGCCTCTCGAATTTCATCTGCAAATGACTTTCGGCCGCGTTTCATTGTATCCCGTGAGACTGAAACGCCTTTACGCAGATCCGTCACCACAACAGTCCCGTGACTATCACCTAATCCACACACAACACGAAAACTATCTTCAAGAGCACAACAACTCATAATACCTCCAACGGGTGGAGATCGACGACGCAAAGAAATTGATCTCTGCAATGATGATAATGATGATGAGGCAGATGAACGAAACAGCAATCCACCACTTGGATCACGCCAATCAAGAACACAGAGTTCACCAGAGGAGAATCCAATCACAACACTGTTCGGACCCCAATAATCCATCGCCGTGGCATTCACAGAGGCGCGATCAAACTCGAATACATCACTATGAACAAGCGGTTCCACGTGGAGTTGATGCACTGCGTCCACTGCGAGTGCTGAGAGAGTTCTTTCATCTCTGCTGTAGTGCCGCAGTCTATGAATTGGCTCGTGCACATCCGCTGAGAGCACCAGTGTGGAACTCACATGCCGCCATGCTGTGGTATATAGAGGAACCAAACACTCATCCTCATTATTGTTTTCTTCTTCTTCTTCTTCTTCTGTATCCACATTCACTGTGTTGTGAAGAGATGGCTTCTCTGCAGGAATGCGAGAGACACGACACCGCCGTGGCTCTTCTCCATTCAGGTGTGTTGTCTGAGATGGATTGTGTGTGTGCACCTGCGCCTCTCGCATCTCTGCATATGATCCCTTCACCGTGAGTGCCAACAAACGTCCATGGGGAGGACTAGTCGCGGTAAGAAAACAACATTCCGAGTTAGAGCCACTGTTGAGACTGGTAATATTATCCGTATTACTAGTACTAGTAGTGTAATTATCACTGCTGTTGCTGTTGCTGTTCTCATATCTAAAAATGCGAGAGACATGTGTGCAGTGAAGATTGGCCGAAAGCGGAATTCGCCGTTCTGCGGGGGAGAAATACCTCCCGAGGGACACATCCCCATACATGGCATAGTTAAGCCGCCACATTCAATCTGTAACTGCAATACAAATCATCGTAAGAAGTAAAGTAAAAAGAAAACAAAAAAAAGAGCAACAACAACAAAAAGAACGAAGGAAAGAAAAAAAAAAAATAAATAAGAAATCAAATGAGAAAAACACGGAATAAGAAAGAAGTAAACAAAAGAAGGAAAAAGAGAATCCTCTATAATCCTGGGATACATTAAAGGAGAGAAAACCCACAGCAAAACAAAATAATAATAATAATAATAATAATAATAATAATAATAATAATAATAATAATAATAATAATAATAATAAATACAGACTTAAAATATGAAGATATGGAATAACAATAGCTGCAACCAGTTTCAATTCTCATGATGTAATGAAAAAAAAGGGCATTTGTTTTTTTTTTTCCTTTTTTTTTAAATGTAAAACAACAACCATAATAATAATAACAACAACCATAATAACAACAATAATAAAAAAACAAAAATAGCCCTCTACATCACCACTGCGATACCTCTAGGTCTATCTGGATCATCATTCTCTCTTACTATGTGACTCTGTGATCGTATTCGTTGTTTCTTCTCATCTGGACTCAGTGGAGAGGGAGTTCTACGACTAGGCTCTACACGCAAGACTCTGGGTTTAGCCTTCGTTGTGCTTTCGGGAATAACATCTTTTTTATCCATTTTTGCCTTTAATGCCTGTTCTTCTTTTTCTTTCTCTCTCTCTTTCTCTTGTTCCTCCTCTTCTTTTAACTCTTGCTCTTCGCGCCAGGTACGAATATCGGCAAAGTGAATAGACACCGTGTACGTATCGAGCAGTTCCTCAGTACGTCTAGGTGCAAATCTTTTTGCTAATCGCAATACGATTTCCCGCAGGACTTCACGGTCATTTGTGCGGGGATGAATATCTTCATATTCCTCAGTGACCCAAAATACACGCGGCACTGTACGGCGAGTGTCAAGTGTTACTCGCCCAGTAACGTAATCATGCACAAGGAGATCTTTGTAAACAATATCAAATATAGCCCGTACAGTATCAATGAAATGTTCCTCAGATACTATACGACCATATTTAGATTCTCGACGAACTTGAGCGGCTTTACATCTCGGGGCTTTACGAAACATTGTTGTACCAACTTCACCAGGAACTCGAGCCAAACCGTGAGCAACCGCATAAAAGAATTCCATCGTTGCTTGAGAAAGACTATATCCTATACGTTCTGCATACAATGAAACTTCACCACACTTAGTGATGCCATATACTTCCTTAAGTAACTGCACCTGTGCAGGTCCCATAACAGGAATAGAACTCAATGGAACATCCGCAACAAATTTCTTTACAGATTCATGTGTTGGAAGATTATATTTCTTGATGTGTACAATACCTCCTGAAAGAATATCCTTTGGAGTTAAACTATACTCTTTTTGACTAACCTCACATGCCATTTTAGCAATAACAGGAGTAGAGGACATACCACACCAAGCTCCTATATGAAGTTGTTCTGCAAAAATATTATTTAACATTTTCACTACTTCATCTTCTGATTGAACTTTCTGAGAATCTCCACTAATTAATGAAGAAATTTCTATAGATATCTCTACAGGCCATCGTTCATCCGTTACTATAAATCTTGTTAAGGTTCGCAAAACTTCTTTTACACGTTGAAATGTCTCTGGTGTTATGTCTTGAAAAACACCTTTACTGTCATTACTATCATTTAGCGTAAAGAATCGAAAGTGCAAAACCTTTCCTAAAGTTTGAAGACTTTGGTAATGCCGCATACGTCCAAGTCGTTGAGTTACTTCTTCTTGTTTACGCAAGGGTGAAAAAACAATAGTTTTGTCTTTTGCCATAACATTGGCTATAACATCTGGTGGAATGATTTTCATTGTGTGTAGTGGAAGTTTTAATTTCCTTAAATCAACCGGTTCCAGATCCATATCAATATTAACATTTTTCCATTCCTCTTCCTCTTTTTCATTCATCGCCAAACTCGCAAAGTCCCTTATCTTCTTCGGTCCTCGCCGACGGAGTTGCGGGGGACTAAAACGAAAGTACATGGCGCTCGTGAGAAGAGAAGAGAAGTGCCGCGAGACTTCCCGTCGGTGGATTCGGCTGCCGCCAGCCACAGTCAGATTGGAGGATCCATAATGTGTGCAGGACCTAAACAATACACCAGACAGACTCATATGTATATATATATATACACACACAAAAAGTGTCGATAACCTGAAGAAAAAAAAAAATAAAATAAATTCCCTCTCTCTCTCCCTCTTTCTCTCTTTTCTTTTGTTTCCATGGAAAATTAAAATAACGGGAAAACACAGTTCATAAGAAACAACAAACAAAGAAAAAAAAATAGAAGAAAAGTGAAGGAATAAGATGCAATTTTTAAAAAAGAGTGATACAAACATAGAGTAAGATTCACAACAGAGGTGTAAGAGTAACAAAGAGAAAGAAAGAAAAAAAAAAAGAAATTAAAATGGTACACAGGTGAAAGTAAGGTACAAAACTGAGATAAATCTAAAGAAAAAAAAAAGAAAGAAAGAAAAAAGAAAACATGAATAACTCCTCCCAAGATGGTAAATAATACGTACTGCATTAATTCATCCATCTTATGTGTTCATAATCAAGTCAATACAGAGGAATCCCAAGAAGAATTATAAAGAAAAAAAAAAAAGAAAAAGCAACAAGACAAAGAAGAAGAGACCCAATATAAATTTGAGACTCAAAAAAAAAAAGGTGAAGCGCCTCTAGAACGTAAACAATGAAAACTCATGAGATTCATTCACCATTTTATACAGAAAAACAAATCCGTTTCTTTTCCAAAAACAACAATGAAGCATCCTCACGTTTTATTTTCTTTTTGTCTTTTCCAAAGGAAGGAAGTTCAATCTGAATATCAAACTCAGATGCCAGACTTCCATTTTTAGACAACCGTTGCCGCCGAGGGAGAGTCTTCAATTTTCCTAATCGGACTCCAGCAAGACGAAAGTCATCAAACTTTTCTAAATGTGGTTGAAGTAGTTTCAGCGTTCCTTGCCAAAGTAATGAAAAATCATTAGTAGGAGCTTCTAAAGTAACATTATATTGGTGATTTTCAAATGAACGTCGCTTCATATGCAGTGAAATAAGTTGAGCAGACTCACGTCGTTTTAAAAGTTTATCATGCGTCTGCGCAAGACAATTAATAACAATCTGCTGTAGTTCTTTTTCACTCTTTAACTTACGCCTAAAAGTAACTTCATGCCCAATCGTTTTTTGCGACCGATCCATTCGTAAACGATCTGCACTGCTAGTCGCTAGACCAAGACCAGCTGAAAGATAAAACCTAAAGGTCTTATACGGAAAGAGAAATCGCAACTTATATTTTTGACGTAAAATAGCACCACAAGTGCGAATACCCAAAGAAGCCAGAACACGTTCTTGAACTGGACCAATACCAGGCACCTTTCGTACTGGCAAATCTTTCATAAAAGCAATTACCTCCTCACGTGTATGTAGTTGGAGGTCATGTTGTCCATTAGGTTTATTATAGTTACTTGCGATCTTTGCGAGGGTTGCAGTGGGGGCGATGCCTGCGCTTGCCGTCAGCTGTGTCTCTGCAAACACGCGGGCGCGGAACTCTGCTGCGATGTCTGCGGCTGTGAGTGGACTGCGGCTGCCCGCCCCCTGCAGGTGTGCGCTGACCTCCATCGTGAGCTCGTCGAGGCCGACGCTCGTGAAGTGCGGGTCGTAGGCGGCGGCGAGGCGGCGGACGGCGGCGGCCTCCGCGCGGTAGGCGGGGAAGTCGGGCGGCACAACGACGAGCGCCGGGCAGAGCCGCCGGCCAACGAAGCCCGGCATGCCGGAGCGCACACCGTGGCGCCGCGCCGCGTAGTTCGTCGTCGACAACATCGCCGCGCTGCCAACGCCGAGCGGCACAGACGCCAGCGACGGGTTCTTCTTCATCTCCACAGCAGCGTAGAACATGTCCATGTCCACATGCACATAATTTCCAAAGTGACGACCAGCTTCTAGCTCCTCTTCCACCTGATCCACTTCTTCAATGATAGTTTTCTTTTCAGCCAATGGGAGAAGTCGGTATTGTTTGGCTTTTTCCAAAAGTTCTGTATTACGTCGTTTCCGTTCAGCTTCCATTCTTTTCTCATTTTTATAAAAAGCAGAATTTTTGGAACACTCTTCAATAATCGCATTTACATGTTTTTTATTTACACCAGAAAGTCCTGCCTTACTTGTATCGAGCTGAATTTTGCTCATTTCTGCACTAGACCCTTTTTTCTTTATTCTAGTTCCAAGGGATACCGCTGCTGCCAGTCGAACCAAAGAGCGTCGCATTATTCATTAAATAATAATAATAATAATAATAATAATAATAATAATAATAATAATAATAATAATAATAATAATAATA